GATATCACTGCTGCTCATTGCTGTCATTAATCGATGGTCTGTCTTAATACCTCAGCGCCGCCCACGCCTCTCCCGAGCTCCCTCCCCTCCTAATTTCATGGACGCTTTAAGTCTTGAAAGAATTTCTAGTGTTCACAGTCATTTCGAACTACAGTCCTAAAATCACCGCATATCTGGTGTAACTAATACATCAATCACATATCTAACACATGAATTTCAGCCCTATAGAAATAGTATCATGAGGGGTTCACAGCAGCTTCGAGCTAGAACGAAGAAATAATATATAGAACACAGGTCGGTTCCGCTACACACAGACAAAATCGGAAGACCTCCTGCGAGGTCACCAACTGCCGATGGAACGTTTGCGAGTCACAAGCGAATCCTAGAACGCTTGAGCAGTCGGCTGTGCGCCCTCCATCTCAAAAGCGCAGAAAACACACAGAACAATCGTTCTGACTCTCTCAGGCACACTCGATAAGTCTCGCCCCGGTTTACACCGGAATAGACCTCCGCGTGAAGGTGAGATTTCGATAATCGTCTGTATGCAAGATACTGTCCCACCCGCGACGGTCTTAAATTATATATCACTCATCGATCAGTTCAGCTGGCCAGAGATGATTGATTTTCGTACAGCATCTATATTTGCGATAGATGACGAGCCCAGCACACAACGGTGTGCGTTATAGCTCAGTGTAAGTTCCCAAGCTATTGCTATAAATGAAACAGTTATCATGTGTCCTGATGTTGTGAATGCTAACTGAAGGAGCACTACGACTAGGAGTCGATTAATCCGGCAATTTTGTTCGTTTACAGGGCACCGGCCCGCAGAAGTGACTTGTACCTTGATCAAAATATGAGCAACTTATTCACGGGAAATGCTTGTGCCAGGTAATCAAGCTTTTTGCTGATAATCTTTTATCTTAACGATGCTAATCTTGAACTACAAGATTTATCCACAGAGCTAATCATCTGAGTTTACAAAATTTCCGGAGCGTAGTGATCAGCACAACCTAAAAATCAGCCATATCTGTATTCAACAGCGAGTAATAGTAAACGAAGAAATGTCGACACCAATTCGTAATAATCCAGATCGAGCGCTACGTTAGTCGAGGTCATGCGTTACTATCGATATCACTGGTCATAAACTGGTCCCTATATTCCGTACGACGGCTCTGCAATAGGAAGGTTAGCACGATCACAAAAACTCGGAGCAGATATAGTAATAGTTTTTTCTCGACAAAGAAAAGTATCGTCCTACGTCAGAGATGTGATCGCATATAAATACCAAGCGAGCATTTTTGCCATCCGGACAGTGCCAATTGTTTCATTATGTTGGCAGATCACAGATTAATATTTCAAAATATAAAACTAATTTCGTTTATTGTGTTACAAAGACACAAATCCATACAATGGTGAGACCTAAACAGTCTAAATAAATTATACTTCCCACTCTCAACGTTTTATTCGACACATATATTCATCTTAATCTATCTATGCGCTTCGAAGAACTTCAAAGCATCCTGGAGCAAGATAAGCTAGCGGTTCAACACAACTACCACTTAGTTTTGGATATCTCATCACCCCTTTACTCTCCCACCCTCCCACTCCAAGCCCCAGTCTACTTGCTAGGTTAGTGGTTCAGACTTTTAGCTTGCAATTTTTTCAATTATGCGTCCGACATAAATACAAATCACATCCCTGAAAAGGGAAAGCAAGCCCCAAAATAAAAAGACTGTCTCATGCCACGCAGACCCATTCACGGAATTTTTGTGAGATAACGGGGCATAGTCTGGCAACAACGCTGATGACACACGCCATTGCACCGAAATTTGGTCTAACACTTCACACCTAGTTCGCATGAGAACATGTGCTCCAGAGGTTTCCACTATGTATATGGATTTTAGACTATCATGCCTGTAAAAGTCATCTGCAATTACATTTCTCGCCCTGAAACAAAGAGCTGTCTTAAACAGGAAAAAATATTTCACTGTCCATCAAACGTAGCTGCTCGTCAGAGAATTTTTCTTTTGTAAAACCTTTATCCGTTCATTCAAGCGTGCTCTAGTTCGTTTTAATGAATTTAAACCAGGGAATCCCAAGTTCTTCTTGATCGAAAATGTGAAAGACGATCTCCATCTATCGTAGCTTTCGGAGCATTAGGCATGAATTTACGAAATATACTAGGGTGTATTTTTCTAGGCTATTGAGGTGCGATCCGGCACCTTTTGATCTGAAGTATAATTAATTCGATAAAACGTAGAAATCCGATTCGCGCGGGGTTTTTCCCATCCTTAGCTGCTTAATTGCAATGAGCTTGCGACTTCGTCCCTGTCCATATATACTTTCTCGGCTGCACGAAAACTATTTTCGTTTCTTCTTAGCGAGTAGCTTCCCAACCGGATTTAAAAAAATAGCCCCCTTCGATAATGCCTGGGCATTAAGGAAAGCCAGTGCCCCGAAAAGGTGACGAAACACCATATTCCCGCTAAAACATATGCGGGGCAGAAAGCCGACCTCACACACTTATCCTTGTAGTTCAGAGGATTTCTGACGCCCTGAAACCTTCAATTGCGAAAATCGGCCTACGCAATTCTTCGGCCCACGAATTGCTCTGCCCATTAAATGACGTCTTTCAGCATTGCATCTGCCTACCATCAGAGAAGGAGCTCATGGCGAAACTATATCTACCAAGGAGCGAACGAATTATATTTCCTTAGACACGTATACACCCGTTGCCAAGAGAACTTCGATCTGCATCATAGACTTCACGACGTTGATGAAAGATGGTAATTGTTTTCCTGTAAACTACTGCTTATTCTTGTTTCCATCGAAAAGTAATGAGAGACTTTTAGAGCTCTTCTAAACTCCATATCATGTGAAACCCCTGAGAAAATTTTCAAGCTTGGTGTGAATCTAGACTAAATCTGGTGCGATTGCGTTGTTCAACAGTTTCTGCGTAACAATAAATATCTTTCAACACTTTTTACGAAAATGCAAGACAGCCAGTCTTTATTGATGGCTTTTCAGAGCATGAGAAGTGAAGGTTCTTAGACTAAACCTGACAAAAAGTTTTCGTCGAAACGAAGTATGGAAAAGTCAAATAGAGAGTTGAGAACTGTCGACGAGTGGAACGTATTAGGATTTTAGGGACGTTGGTGAGGGTGGCTTTACCAGTATCAAACACATTATTTGAAAAAAAAAATTCCCCGGAGCGCTGATCTCAAAATCAAGAAAATTCGAATTTGTTCATGGTGTGAGTCACAAAAATCGCCGCCTTTCCAATAATGGACTCCATGCTTACCATCTGGAAGAACATTTTATTGATCGAAAAACGATGTATATATTGTGCATACAAAGATTGTAGGGGAATAGGTTCCTAGGTAGGAGCGTATCAATTCTGAGAGAGGCAGTCGTTACTTATTGATTAGAGCTCTTGTGAGAAAATACAGTCCCTGCTACAGTCAGTCTTCCCCATGGCAGAAAAACGGGTATTGACAGCGCGTTGACGTACCCAAATCTCGCTGCCGGTTCTCGCCCGCAAAATTGCGTAATAAGTCAAAAGAGCATTTTGCTGCCTTTCTTCGGTGACCCATCTCCAGTTTGAATGCAGGCTACGAATCTGAGAGTCGTAATAGTGAACTCTCTTTTCAGCAAAAGATGAGTTTCGTCTAAGTATGCGAGACACAAAAATACGCTCTCCAAACCGCAGCAAGTCTCGAATCACGCAACACATAATTTCCCGAGCCGGACTTCCCCTTATACTTAAAGCCAGGTGACGTTATAAATGATGAGGAAATGTTGTGCGAATCAGCACGGACACGAGTAACTTACGCTTTTTATCTCCTATGTTTAAATATTAGAGATGAAGTACATTAGATGAGCATTGAGGACGTATAATATGGAGAGTGCTCTTTTCTTAACCCGATCAACATCTACTGGAGTTCGAACCAGGATTTGTTTGAATGAAATAAGTCGAAAGATCTATACGAGAGACAATAGATGCCTTCCACCTCTTCCATCGGTATCAAAGTACGATAATGAACTGAACTAGCAGGCACCATTTTAAGCGATCCGCGAGGTTGAGTCCCAACGTTGACAATCCTATCAGACACCCCATAAGTTTTGTTTACCTCAGCTACCCCTAAATATATTAGTTTGTTATAGCATGAGTCGCGATTTCCCTAACAAGTCCTTGCTTTATTGAGAGTTCAACACCACTCTGGGTGTAGGTCATTAGACACGTTTGCTGAGGGTGCATAACTTTTCAAACTGAACACTTATTTTTTGCTTAATGAGGCGTCGGCTCACAGGACTCTCGACATCACAACAACAGCGCAAATATCAAACTGGAACTAGGCAAATAAATTGGCAGATCCACGGAGAGCTTAATTGAGAGAGAGAAATAGCACGAGAGAGTGTTAGAAACAACCTGAGCGCAATTAGTCAAAAAACATAGTGTTGCAAGAATGTTTAGCGAGAGAGTTCAAAGCATACAGACGCTCTAAAAAGCACCAAGCCTCGCTAGAAAAATCTATCGTCTACGACCATATAACTAGCCTGGTACGACTGCCGTCCCGGTTTCAAGGTGGAGAAGAGCTTCACAAGTCATTGACGGGAGAAGTCGAGATAAGAATTGAGGCAGAGAACGGTTGTGTGCATAAGTCCAAGACCGTTATCGTCCGATTAAAGGTGTTCCAAAATGAAAGCCGTACGATAATGGTAAAGGTGTCATATCAAGAGCACGGCGTTGGTAACCCTTCCACTTTTGAGTCATAGATGATGAAGAGCTCTGAATTTGGGCTCGAAAAGTCCGTTGATAATGCACCGCTCTCTGAACGACCACCTGTCCTCTCAACAGGACCAGGTCTCCTACCCAATCCAGTGTGTAACCTTACCATTCGTTCCACTGAGATACGTATATCGCGACCACTTCCTCCAAGCGATTTTTTGAGCATAAACATGGATTCGATCAGGGTGCAAATCACAAAGTAAAAAGTTACCTTAATCCTGGTCAGCAACCTCTCGTAGTCAAATACCGTAGTTAGTTCCAAAGGCGTGGGAGTGATGATAAAATCCCGACCTTCCAACTGTAAAAATGTCATTTTGGATGAAAACAGAGCACAAATCCAGATTCTCTCGTGCATCGCGAAGTACTACATGAATTTAGCGTCACATTTACCTCATCAGCTCCTTTGATTGTCTTGTCAGGATTCGCTGTGAGATGTACAGTATACGACACGCCTTTCTTCGGTGGGTGAAATGCCAATTTTCGAGCAATGCTTTCCGGGATGGGTGGACATCCAATATAGCAACACAAACCGCACAGCTAAATGTAGCAGCAGGAAAAGGTGAGCTGGATTCTACACTAGGATCTTCACAAATGCTAACAAGGAAAGGATGATGGGTCGAAGTGGCCATATGTAATGAGACCTACACTTTTGGATGTGTTTTTGGACGCTGATCTCGAATCTGCTTTCCAAATCTGCCAAACGATTTTCCGAATGGAGTTATGAAGGAAAGTAGTGCAGCGGTAGTAGTCCGGGTTCACGTGCGAGACGTCGTAGGATCGATTCCCTGGCGGGTTCTCTTTTTTGCCTTCGCTGCAAAATGATTGAAAAAGGCTCCCAACTACCTTACTTGATCAATGCTTGCCTGTAGTTACCCGTGCAAAGAGTTTGCGAGGAGTTTCTAACAGTTTGGGCGGTACTTACTAAAGACTGCACATGGAGCCCACAGAACTCTTGACAGACGTTTTGCAGCAAAAAGGCGTGATGGTCGTACTCCTGAGTTGAAAAATACCCCTGAGGGCAATTTTGAGCCGAGTCGCCCGTCAGGGAACCGATCCTACGACCTCTCTCCCGTTAGTCTGGACAAGCACTGCTGCTCTATTTTGCACCATATCTCCGCTCAGAAAATCGATTGGCAGAATTAGAAGGCTGTAGATCCCATTGCGTATGGCCAATTCGACTCATCATCTTTTTCTGGTAAGTTATTAGCAAAACTTTCGACTCTTAACAAAACTCGACACTTGCGTTTTACAGTCATCCCACCTGCTCTAGGTATACGGCAAAAGGTCGATAATAAAGGAGTATGTTGCTCAGCAGTGAATGAATACCTGCAGAAATGCTCCAAAAAAGCTTAAGTAGTCCGGTTTCTGCTGCTGGACGGAAGCATTAGTATTGCAGGGAGAAGATGTGTTTGCCTGGAAATAGAAAGGGCATGACCACAGGGACATGGCCAAGATAACACTATCGTTACTGTTGTCGCACAAATGTGAGCAATGTGAGCGCGGCACAGGGCTTGCTCAGCGCAGCCTAAAGAACATATGGGCCGCGTTCGTAGTTCGCGACTGCAAAAATGAGGACAGTACGCGACTAATGAGAATATTAGTGTACTCGTAGAGGTCATCAAGATAGTAGTAAATCAGAATAGTGCGCTGACAAGATTAAATACTTTTAATCGATTCGACCTAATAGTTAAAGCAAGTCCGAAAGATACGTATCAAATCTTGTGTGCACAATGTCCTACTGTCTACTATCCTCATATCCTATTGCCTACTATCCCAATCTCGCGGTCTATGTACGTGGCCTGACACTAGCAAGCGCCCTGCCGTGGCAAGGCGCACTCCTCCGCCGTAACTTAGCCATGCATTACCCTTTGTCTTCGAATAAATGGGATCGGCTTTGCTAGAAAAGAATAAACACCAATTTTTGAACAATGGTAGGCTTTGTATGCTGTGCTGGGGAAAATTAAGTGTCATCGAATGCTTCTGGTGCTATGGGCAAAACTCGGGTGCACGGCACACCTCGATCACACTTCAGCGTTTGTTAACAATAAAGTGAGAAATCCGCTCTGATTATCCGGATGCCATTTCTCACAGTACCCCACTTCGCAGCTCTGAAAGGTGGATTCACTAAACCTTGGATTTACTAACCCAGGAATTGCTTAATTAATTGCGCATATGTTGCTGATGTTCTTACGATCAAGGACATCCGAAAAAAGTTGTGGCGAAATTAGAGCTATTTTCTAAAGGCGGTAAAGAAGGTGTTGCTGTGGACACTCTGAAAGACCCGCGATGTACGTTCCTTTTATTTTTCATAGCAATATGCATGTTCCTTCCGTTTTTTGCTGATGTGTCTAATTTCGACGAAATAGCAGAAAACATCCGTCTTCCCGCATGTGTGCAGAAATTTGCTGGTCAGCCCTACAACAGGGCCTCAGTCCGACTGTTCAAAATCTGGTTTTGTTACCTCCACACTGCCAGTCTTAGATAGCCAATGGTTCCTTAATAGATTTGCGAGGGTTTTTCACAATTGGTCCAATTTCAGCGCTAATTTTTCCCACTCCACGAAACAAAATTGGCGCTCTGCATCGATCCCACAAAGTTTTGAAGGAAGCAGCGATGGAAACATGAAACCTCCAACTATTCAGGAAACGTATCGTATAAATTAATTGGTACTTTTAGCCATGCATTTTCTGAAGGTCAAAGCAATCATGGAACGTGCAGTGCCCTGAGCCTGCTGGCAAAACTTTCGATCAATGACAGCACCATGCTGCTCCACACGGAGCTGTACACTTACATTCTACTTTCAACAGATTTTTCTTTTGACTTCTCCGCTCCGTCAGGCCCACAGATATTCCGAAAGTCCTCTCTCATAAATTGCCCCAACGAAGCTCACAAAATAGACAGTGACGAACATGAGTTGAATTGGGCGGCATTACTTCTCCACAGAGACGAGTAATTCCGGCCAAATTTCGTAATTTGGAAGGATATCAAAGTCACCACGTAACCCTTTGCTGGGATTGGCGCATACATTTTTGTGAAAGGTGGCGCATCACTCAGCCTAATTGAATGACATATGCTAAATGCTGAATAGCTCTACCTTATTAATTTGAGAGGGAATTTCTATATTCATTATGGAATGCGACTTTAATGTTGTTCTAGGAAAAATGGACAAATTTCCATTCATTCCTAAACATACCCCGAATAATCAAAACCGTAGACGTCCATCTCAAATATTTCGGCAAACTGCGGCAGATTTACATATCGTGGTTGTAGGAAACTTCCGAGATCTGACGAGTTTGGCTGCGTGAAGATTACAACCTTAAACGGTAAGCTTCTCATCAAATGATTCGCTCTCAAATATTCGACCCAAGAACAGTAGCAGCATAGATCAATATGTACGTCTACTTGCACTTTACATGAAAAATGGTTTTCATAATGATCAGACTTACTTGTTTCCTCATACGTAATGAATAGGATGGGCGACTTGGAGGACATCTCACAGCAATCAAATGATGACCACTCGAAGTACGGACAGTGAAGGGCTAAAGCGCTAAGGTGTTAGGCTTGAAGGAATGATCAAATATTATATAAATGGGTTTCTTGTTGAAAAAAAAAACGGGGAAAAACGGCTTCTGCAGCAGTGTATATATTGCTTCAGATTGCAGAATACAGGTGAGACAGAATAGTATCGTCAGGTTCGAAACGGAGATTAATGGCTGAGGAAGATGTTATAATTCTCATCAAAGGACACTAAATAAATCATTACTAGGTCCTTTTTTGCTACCCCATCCCCTAGTCGACAACGTCGTGCCCTGTAGTAAGTTGCAGGTTGCCGTGCAGTGGAACAATTTCATGTATTGGAGGCCTCAACTCGGCAATATGCCAAGCAGTCCTACGCAGCTGCAAGCAGTAGAAGTCTGCGCTAGCAGTAGTGGTCGGTTGAAGCCTGTGATGTTGAAATCCAACAATCGGAGAGCGGAACCCTTATTTCGAGTGAGGCTCGTCTCATAGAGCTCTTTGTCGCTGCTGTTGCATATCACCAACAGTGAGTCCGTTGCTTAGACTGCGCCACGTCTAACCCAGGGACCGCTTTGACCAGACTAACTTGCGAACTTGCGAGCTTCGAGAGCAGCAAATTTTCAGCTGATATCTCACATGTATCCCAGCAATTTCGTTCACCTCAATGTAATTTATTTCCAGAACTTGCATTTTCATTTTCATTTCCAGAATTGTACTTACACTACTTGTACTTCCTAGTTGGTGATGAAATTCCTCAAGGCTTTTCCTCATGGCTTGAAGGGACGCTGTCCGCTACTTGGGGAATAATGAAGGTCCATTGCAAATTGACGAACTGTCTCACAGGTCTGTCTTCGAAAAGCTCCTTGGATGACTCATCCTCCATCAGTGTCGTTCGGAACCTGGCTGGTCCTGTGCAAACTTCCCGACTACGGGACTCGTGCCTTTAATTTCAGCGTTTACGATGGCTTCTCTTGCTTTCCTTTCCGCTTCAGTTCATTTCGCAGTCATCCACCACAATGATGCGCTCTTACCTACCAGTTTTTCTTTCCGTAACTTGCATTTAAAAAGCAATGAAAGTATGTAGGCAAGCAAAGAGAGCAGCAGGGAAAGGGAAAACGAAAAAAATTCGATCACGCAGAAAGTGAGGACTTTCCCCTCTGGAGAATTGCACGTCACGATAAAGAAGCACAGTGCGCCGATGTGAAGTGATATAAGAGAGAGCCCAGAAGACGAGCAAAACTGAGACGTTCAGGTGCGCGGGTTGTTTCATCGCAAGCAACAATTTACTTTAGAGGAGGATTTGTGATAAGGACGAAGGTCGCCAGAGGGGAAACGTACCTATTGGAACAAGAAGCGGATGTTTTAAGAGTGCGGACCGACACACAATTCGCACCAAGGGATATGCCACTAGAGTCCAGCATGGCTTTCCCCGTAATCGAGTTGGCCATTGGCCCAGTATGAGGGCGAGGTGCGTGACGCAACTATGGTAATGAAAAAGAAGGAATCACTGGAAAAAAAAACTCGTGAAGATACAGCATGGATACGAGCAAGAGCGAATTTGTCCTATGCAAGTTTCAAACTGCGATTAGTCGCTAGCAATGCCTATGACGACTACTCGTGGGCGCAACCCAAGTGCTGGGTGGAACCACGCGTAAAGGTGATGTCTTAACGCTTTTGCCCAACAATTTCGCACCGCGAAATGAGTGCACAGTATTGGCGATCCTCTAGGTCGCGCTAAAGTCCTCCGGTGTCCTAATTCTGAGGTGTGCTTGAAAATTCCTGCACATGTGACAATATCCTAGCGCTCTGACCACACAGTGTAAGGAAGCTACTAGGTTGAGCGACAAATAATTGATGACATGAAATCGATTCTCAGAACCCACAACTATCTTCAGACCATCTTTGTCAAGTGCCGTATTGCCACAACTATTTGCAGCTGTCCTCCATCTCTTCGTCAGCAAAGGGTCACCCTTCTTCAAATTGAGCAGTCGTCGACGGAAAGAATTTTCGGACGCCCGCTCGAGGTGATCGCGATCATAGTTTTCTTCCTTCAAGAAAAGAGCACGCAGGCGGAACACTGTGATCAGTTGCTATACCATCAGTGGATTATGAAGAGCGGGGGACAATTATAAAGCCGAGGTTCTCCTTTGTGTTCTGTCATTATTTTTAAAGGACGAATTCACGATTAATGAAGGTCGAAGAAGGAGTAATTCACCTAGTTGAGGGACCCGCGGACCTCCTAAGGGTGCGGACTGAAGCGCAATTGGCACCGAAGGAGTTGACCTCGGCGACCTATTAAGGCTCAATCTTGGCGCGGTGGGCCAGTGCACGCCCACCGATCATCTGATCACTCGCCGCAGGTCTATACGTGGCGAGTGATTAGATAGGTGAGAGAGCGTAGTGTTGAAGAGGGCACAGCGATGAGAGTCGCATCAATGCTCGAATCAACGGGCAAGAGTCCCCATTTATCAGGTTGGCCGCCTTCTCATGGTCATTCTTTGTGTACCACTCATCATCGCTAATTGAGAAATGGTTATCACGTGATTTCGTCTTTCGATGAGATTTCCTCTGCAGAAAACAATCTATCCTCTTTTGGTCATTTTCACGACCTAGCCATGTTATCCCACAAGACCATGAGGGGAAGTTGAGCAGCTTGCTCGCAGTTTACGAAAGCTTGTGCAAGCCAAGTTGATTACCTAACTACTGTAATTGCGTTGATCTACCATAGACCGCTGCCTTCACAGTAATTACACCCACAGCCTTCACAGAGCTATCCAATGAACACGTTGATTCCAGTGAAAATATGGGGTAGGATTCGTGCTCAAACGACAATGAAACTAGCTAGAGAATTGAATTGTGAAACCAGTGGTGGAATGTAAAGTAGCCTCCAATAATAAAGAGCTTTGAAGAACGCTAAAAAAAAACAAGAAAGACTATCGGACCGAAGCAATTGGTAAGCACAGAAATGCTCAGAAGTTGACTTAACGAGTTAAATCGGTCGAAAAACGGTGTTTTCTCTTTTCTCGGGTGATTGCCCAGCAATCGCAAGCCGCTCGTGAACGGTGCTACCAGAACAACGCCCACTAACACCTTCCGGATGCGAAGCCGCTAGATCAATCACTGCTGTAGTGCCGATGCTGTATCCAAGCAAGACAATCTGAAGAATTGGTAAAAAGGTATTTACATAATTACTGTTTCGCTAACGAGAGCAATCAATTCATGAATAGCTCCCTGCTATTTCCAGATAAGAAACAGGAAAAATAAACGATTTCTTATGCGATATTTGGTCCCTGGGCGTAACCATCAAGCGGGTAAGGTTCCCCCCTGCCCGCAAATTTGAGCAAGGTAGAAGGCATTTCCTCCTGGCTGCAGCGACGGCTCGGTCAAATCCCTGTGTGTCTCTGCCCCCCTACTATTATGAACACCTAGCATAACTCTATATATTACCTGCATTCGGCGCCCTCAACTGACCTTTTTATTTGGTCGAGTTCGATGTATGTATTCGTATACGGCACGGATATCAGCATATATATTTTTCTCAGACACAGTTCCTGTGGAATACCCGTATCTGAAGAACATCTGCGATAGATCAGTTGTGTTATAAAATCTTTGGTGAGAAAGAATGAGTAAAATGACTGAGTGGAACGACATATTCAAATACGTGAAAGGAAGCAGCAAGCACTCGTCTTCGTTATTTTACCTATTACAATAATTAGCGACTTGAATATTATATAATTAATCAAGAGATCAGCTTGCTCTCCCCGAACGCATGCTCTCCCGCATGTTCGTGTATTCCTTATTCGCTCCTGTCTCCGCCAACGTACTACCTCAACCTTACCTTGAGGTTAAATCCGTAAAAGCATCCACCAGATCCGCATGGCTGTGCTCTACAGCACGAAGTGTGGGACGATCTGGGCCGCAGTGAAGAAAAAAGGAAAAGAATCCGGTGATAGCGCTTAAGTTAAGGGCCCACTCACCTTCCAAATCAGCTGTGCTATGGGAATGAGAAATTAAGGCGGAGAGGAGAGTATGAGTCAAGAGACCGCTGCATTTTGAGAAAACGCCAGACAACAGCCTAATAAGAGAACGAAACCTGCAGCTTCAGCAGCTTACTTTGCAAGGCCTGAGCGCTCTTGCCGGTTTGTTTGAGCGGGAACGCCACATTTGTGGTTGTCCTCTGGGGTCAATACTACAGACCGAAGAGAAGCGTTCACACAATCTCTGTTTTTGCTTTTAAAGGCAAAGTCAGTCATACAGGAGGTACTGTGGCGATGAAACTGAGTATAGAGATGCGAAGTGGAACGACAGTGGAGAAAACTGAGAAAAACCGTCGACAAGGCCGTTAACAAAACCCTCTTTCCCACTAGCAGTGAAGGAGGCTGGCTTGGGAAAGAGGCACGTACAAACAAGTTTTCTGGAGATGTCAGTCGTTCTATCGGTTGATACGGCAATCAACCTAGCTGATTTCACACGTTATGCCAGCCACGCACCACTTCCGGAGGTGGGCGGTCGGAGCGCCTCCAGGCGGCGAAAGCGCTTAATACTTGCTCTGGAGCCTTATTACGGCGCCGTTCGGGATTCTGAGCATGGTAACGTCTCTGTGAGTGCGTAGCCATGCACAAAGACGACGAAAGGGATTGGTTGGTCCACTGAGC